CCCCCTCCTCCCTTTTCGACCGCCTCTGCGTAGTTGCAACCTACGATATTAGTCATCGGGTTACAATAGACCGGGTGCAATGATCACCTCCACGGTGTACATGCGGCAAACCCACTTGCCGCACCATTGCAAACGACGGGGAACCGAACTTTTACCTCCCCGCTCCCGCAGCTGGTAATCAGAGGACTGACTCCGCCGCCCGTCATCCTCCTCTCGCCTGAAAACTCAGTGCGGTCGACACTCACCCAGACTGAAAGAGGCAAGAAGAAAGGCGCGAGGGGCAGGGGTAATACGAGGACTGGTGCTGCCACTAGCACGTGACCTGCACATGCCTGACCCCTCACAAAGTGGAAAAGGATCTTGACTCTGTCATGCTTCCGTCCTCTTCTCTATTCTGCTTTTTCCTTTCTCTTTCTTTCTTTCCTTCTTTTTTCTTCCCGTTTCCTTTTCTCTTTTTTCTTTTTTCCGTTTCTTTCTTCTTCCTTTTTACTCAGTTCGCCTTCTCCCTCCCCCTCCCCTCTCTTCTGATTTCGCCGCTCCCTCCATGGCTTTCCCTATTGTCCCTATCGATCTCTGGGATTCATTACCCCATTTGGCACAACCCATGTCCTGTGATTGTGACCTTTGGAGCGCAGGACCCAGACACCGGCGTCAATGCCCCAGAACAGATGACCACTTTACCATCCGGCCGAAGATCATGGAGAAGGCAGAGGCCGGACTGTGATACATTCCTTCATCTGAAGTACACCAGCAGGGTAATGGAGCCTCTCTCCATAAGGAAGATGATCAACGAGGTCCTAGCAAGGATTGTGGGCGATGATACGGCTACTTGGCTGGAGCACACCGTAATCGGCTGGACCTATAATTCTAAGATCGCATCCAGACTATGCAGGCCGACGGAAGTGTTTTGCGACTTCGACGTGGCACAGTGGATGGAGGCCTACGATCTAGGGCAGTGCCCATGCAGATCACGCAGGTACATGGACATGCGCAGCCAAGCTTTGATAGATCTGCTCCAATGCGAGGGACAGATACATGTGATCACGCTGGATTCATCGATCACGGATAATCCTCTGCTCCAGGGCATCATCAACGCGGGATTGAACCACATCCCCTATATGTCCGTGGACATAGACGAGGCGGAGAACGAGATGGGCGGTTTTCTCGACAAGCTCATGACGGAGGTACTGGAGTTACGGGAGCTGACGGCATCCACCCAGTCTTTTCTACGAAGGGTAATCCTGAGGAAGGCGCGGATGAAGATGGCCAAGTACAAGGAGCAACACAGACATGTGACCGCCAAACCATTCGAGCATCCGATAGTCAAACGAGAACTAGAGTTCCTCACCGGACGATTTCTCATTTGTCTGACGGATAAGGCCCCGAACACTCCTGCCTTTGTATGCAAGAATTTCATTTGGAAACTCGCCTTTCAGAGGCTGTCTGGACCTGAGTTCGTGAGCATTGCCGCCTTCCCTGCTTCTGTCATCGCAAAAATACAAGGCGAGCTTTCGGCCCTGCCTGTGTTACCGGAGGCCCCTGCTGCACTCCCGTTTCTGATGACAGTCTTCAAGGCACATACGGGAGTGTTCCGGTGGATTACGAATACAACGAAGACCATTGTCTCCCCTGCGGCGGAACTCTGCGAGTGTCTGCTTAGATTCCTCCTCCCCCTGGTGCAAACGTTCTGCATGGAAAGGAGCTTGGAAATAGAAGACCGCCATGGAGTAAAACCGAGCCTGTGGTGGTCAATAGCCTCGGAAGGGGAGTTTTGCGCGAACCTACCGGAAAGAATCTACTCTATCTTCACGACGAACATCACTAGGTGCTTCAAGACGATCCCCACTGACAGCTCGAAGGACAGCCTGCCGGCGGCGGTAAGATTCTATGTGCAATGCGCGATCCGGGTGCAGAGGGAGAGGAGCTCGAGCCACTCCATTCGGATTAGGGTGGGGGTGAACGGCAGGTTTTGGCTCTCATGGGTGGACGCTGATTAGGCAGAATAATTGCCAATGGGGTCGATGCTATTCAAGGAGGAGGACATTTTCTGGCTCTCTGAGTGGTGCACTGCCAACAGTGTTCTGTGCATGGGCGACTTTGTGTGGAGGCAGGCTGGGGGCATACCTATGGGTCTGGCCTGCTCCCCGATTTGGTGCAATGTCTAATTCTTCAAGTATGAATTTCACGCTATGATGAGACTAGCGGATACCGAAAATGCACACTTAATTCCATTCTTCTCGGACACCTTCAGGTACATCGACGACCTGGGTGCAGTCAACAATACCATCATCGGCAACTTTATGTGCAAGAAGAGGGATAGGGAGGAGAATGATACATGCTGGATCTACCCGGACGAATACATCGAGATAAAGGAGAATACCGAGGTCGTCGTGGACGATTGCAGACGGAAGGCCAACTTTCTTAGTGTGACCATCACGATCACCTCGGCAGAGACTGGGGCATACGTCACCTCCAGACATGATAAGAACGACGGACTGGGGTTTACACCTTGCAAGTTCATGAAATACAAGTCCCATAGGAGCGTCAAGCAGGCGCTGCAAATTGTTACTGCCCAAGTCGCACAGATCCTTCTTCTGTGCTCGAAACCGGATGACGCAGCCGTAGAGATTAACAAGGTGGTGACTACAATGAGGAACAATGGTTTCACCAGGGACGCCTGCTGGAGGGTGGTGAGGAAGACGCTGCGCAACGCATACCGCTACCAGCTTGGCCGGGTCTCCGTGCACACAGTCAACGAGGCACTGACCCACATGTTCGGTTTCTCTGACTAACTCTAGTTTCAGGGTGTGTGTCTGTGTCTGTGGATGTGCATACGTGTGTGGCTGGTGTCCGGGGGACGACTGGGCCGAGAGGGCCGGTTGTTCTCCGGACAACCGCCCCCTCGAACTCTGCCATCCCCCGGAGGGATAGTGGTGGGACACACACACACACACACACACACACACACACACACACACACACACACACACACACACACATACACACACACACACGCGCGCGCGCGCGCGCATACAGGTCGAAGAGAAGGAGGAAAACGATGGAAGATGAATATGCGAGCTCGCGCAGCCTCTCTCTCCCCTCCTCCTCCTCCCCCTTCTTCCTCCTCCTCCCTCCTCCCTTCTTTCGTCGTGGGGGTTGGAAGGGGTGGATGACTCATTGGCCTGTCAATGCACTATGTGACTGTATCTAGGATATGACTTGTGATGGGTTTCCATCAATACGTGTTTTGTCTTGAATCAAACTCTCCTTTTCGCCTGTCGAATTCTTTTCCATCATCTTCACTTTTTTTCAATCATATGGTATGTTGTTTTTTGAGAAGGTGTCTCAATGAAGCACGTGATTATATCTGAGATGTAGCTTGCAACGGTCTATCATCAAATGCTTGTCTTGTTGCTGGGGCTGGTCATGTGTGTGTAAATGATATGTCTCAACGGAGCATGTGATTGTATTTGAGATATAGCTTGCAACAGACTGTCGTCAATGTTTGTCTTGATTATTTCAACGTTTTTCAAGAAACTTTCGTTCTTCCACTTGTCGAATCTTTCGTTTCACCTTTTTCTGCTTGACGGGATGATTTTTTTGCCCCATTGAAGTGCGGAGCACCCCTACCCCCCTTCACCTCGATTCGCCATCTAACGCGAGGTATGGCCCACCACAAATGGACTTACAGATGGTTTTACCTCGCCGCGTTGGAAGATTGCCTCCCGCGTCTTGCTTTTTGCTCACGGTGTGGCGACGCTTGCTAGTCGGAGTAGCATGAGTATGACGTGTCGTGCTCATGCGAAATGCATGTGACACACACATGCTGCAGACACAAATACACACACACACATACACACTCACACGTACACACACACACATACAAGGATTGACAGACACATACACACATACACACACACACACAAACACACACACAAACACACACACACACACACACACACACACACACACACACACACACAGTGCAACACACACACGTGATACACACACACACACAGACGCACTCTACTCTACGACACTCTACGACAGTCTACTCTACGACAGTCTACTTTACGTACTCTACCCTTCTCTACAATACTTTTTTCTACGACACTCGTCTCTACTCTACTTTATTCTATGACACTCTACTCTACGACAGTCTACTCTACTCTACTCCACGACATTCTACTCTACGACATTGTACTCTACGACCACTTTACTCTACGACACCCTACTCTACGACCACTCTACTCTACTATATGACACTCTACAACACTCTACGACACTCTACTATAATCTACGACACTCTACGACACTCTACTATAATCTACAACACACACAACACACACAACACACACAACACACACAACACACACATGCACTCACGCACACACACACACACACACACACACATGCGTGCACACACACACACACACACGCA